TTGCAGTCTGCAAGGGCTTCTTAGGATCATTTATGCAAGTCAGAAATAGTACATTTCAGCTCAGAGGGACTGGAGTGTTCGGAAACCTTACATTACCTACTACTTAAATAGCTGCAGGCATAGCTCTTGCTTCTTTCCCTGAGTATTTGGCACAGGCTTCACAAACTGTGTATCACTGCTTAGTTGCAGCACTCATATGCAGAAAAGTGCAACCCAGCTCTTCAAAAGGTAGTACTTTCAATTCTCCAAAGTCCCATAGTTTCCTTGAAGTATTTCCTTACTCATCAGGACTGTTTATAGAAAACCTCAGAATTACCGTCCTGTCACAGCACTGCTTTCTGCCCTCTAACAGGGACGGAAGGAAATGGATAATGATCAATATCAAGCAGAGAAAGTCAGTCATACAGAGCACTATGCACAGTCACCATTGGAGGAATGAACAACTCTCAAATATCTGAGATTACTCAGATATTCCCTTGCAGAGCAAAGTGAGCATTGTTGTAAATCTTACTTACTTCTCTGTAAGACTAATGAAGATAGTCCTGTCCTATCTGAGAACTGGTCAAAATAAAGAAAAAATGTATTTCAAGCAAGAATAAGTGGAAGACTGATGTCTAGGACTAAATTAAAAAACAAAAGGATCAACATAAAATTAATTTCCGTAAGAATTTCCAGGTTGTTAATTTTTTTTTATAGCTTGTAGTTTACTCCTTCCACCTTGGTGAACACCAGATTAATTTTAAGAAATACACTACTGCTTTGTATGGAAAAAGGCTCCAACTTCATATCTTCTATACAATGGACTTCGAGCTCTCTTCTACTGCATTATTAGCATACACAGATGATTTCTTCTCAGATCTTACAGTCTTGACTATCATTAATCCCCTTCCAGATCTGCAGTAAGAAATAGCACAGAGCTCTGAAGTGGAGATTCTGAGGGAAGCTACAAAATATGCAATTCACCGTGATGTATTTGTGTGGTGTGACCTGTAGAATTACGTTGGCAAGACCTCTAAAACCAGAAGTGAAACCAAGTGTGTCTCCAGTTTAAAGATGGATATGATCTCAAGGAAACAATGGATTGTGTCTATCAACATGTATCTACAAACTCAGCAGTGACAGAAGGTCTGAGAATTTTAATGGAGCTGCTTATTTTAAGAGGTCCAGACCTGCTTTGCCTCTTCACGTTCAAGAATGCCAGAAAATATTACTGATACCAACCAGCTCATTCTTCATCTTTAATTTAAGCCTTGTGGCTCAGGAACATGTCTTTGCCAGAAAAAGAACAAAAGACTACCTCTGCTTGTGCAAAATGCACAGAGTACTTTTTGTTCTAAAATTCTGGGATCCCTCTGTCCTACCTCTTTGCCATCTCTCCAGAGTTGGTAAAACAGGAGCATAGTAAATTTATACTCTTCAAGGCATAGTTCTAATTCCAGTTGTTAAAATTATTGTTCAACATTTTCAGAATATGAAAAAGTAACAGGAGACTTTCACTTAGAATGCAACTTGGCAAATTTGAAGCTGACTACTTGCAAAGCAAATTTTTTTTGGAGGGCTATTAAAGAAATTTCCAGAGTCCTTTTTCTCTCTTGACCTTAAAGCAAATCATTAGTATTCACATTGCCAAAATTTGAAGGTAACAACTGACAACCTCTTCACAACCTTTTGGTCTTCCCTTCATTACTTGAGATATTGGAGTATCAGTGTCTAATTGTGATTAGTTACTCCAGTTCATTCGTACTTGCCTTGTCTTGGTTCACATGCTAGTCAGAAGATAATGAGAAGATGAGTATGAAGACAACTGGCCAGGTCCTTTAAGGAAGACAAATTAAACTGAATACCAAAGCACATTCTTCATTAGATTTCTAGAGTTCATTTTCCCCTTTGACAAGATACATCTTTTCTGTGTACTCTGAGGTTCAAAAGCAGTATGAAGATGATCCCCAGTACAGAAGAGTTATAAGAAATTGTAACTTTCACCTGGAAATTTCTATAATACTCAAGCAAGAAGACATTTATAATCCATTCAGGAATGATGCCAATAGCATGCATCAGTTTATCATGAGGTCATGGCAAATGCAAGTGCAAAACAGCAGAGCTATGATTTTCTGGAATTAACACCAGTTTGTTATGCTATGTTCTTTCAAGAATGCTACAAGAGCTTGTGACCCTTACGTGTAAAAACTGCAAGAGAATGACAGTGAAATTTCATCGTCTGCATGCAAGTTGATATGCTATCTGTTTTGTGTTCCATTTATCTACTTATTAAATTGACAGTACTGGTTGCTTTTTTCCCTTCTTCATCTCTGAGGACCAAGATGACTACAACTGTTAGTTGGGAGTCAGCAACCATAATCTTGACTGCTTCTTAGTGATCCAGACTTTATGTATTTTTTTCTAGGCAAAGAGAAATCCTTCTAATTGTTCATCTATGACAGCTTTTACATGAAAAGCCCTCGAATCTTCCTTTTTCCAATTCTATTAAGACTTCAGAGAGGGTGACAGGGATTTTTCTGAAATCCTCCAAATCTGCCAGCTTTCTTCAGTTTCTTATCTGTATTAGAGTGCTGGCGTGATGGGTACTTATACTGGAGAAAGTTAAAATTAAATTCCCATAAAATAATTTTATATTCTCTGAATGAGTACCCACTACTCTGTCAGCACCCCCAACTTTGGCTAAAATTTTTCCAAGCCTGAGAAAGTCTTTTCTTCATGTGGAGATTCTAAATGGATGCAAAGAGAGAGGAAAATGATCAAAGGGTTCCAAATCGATAACTGATTCATTGGTTTTAAACATTTTTTTTTCCTGCCTGGATATTGCTCTGCTGTTTTCTAACTTGTTTTTTAGTTGTCTTATATTCCCTCAGCTGTGGCAGTATTCCTGGAGCCAAATGTGAGTGCACTACCTCAAAATGCCAGCAGTGGAAGCTGGTAAGCAAGTGGGGGAAAATCACCAGAGGAATCACTGAAGCTTGGGACAAAGGCAGAAAACACATCAGTACTGCACTAACAGAGCAGCAGGTACCCTCATAGAGAAGATAAAATTACAGGTAAGGAAAAAATTTACATTTCTGTTTTGGTCTCATCCAAATGGCTTCTTACTCTCCAGTCAAAATCCCAGAAAAAGTAACACACCATAAACATCTGAAGAAGAAAAAGATAGCAAATGTAATGAATTTAGAGTACTTGATTTTTTTTAGTGAGCATAATTTGACGTTCAGTCTTGCCAAATTTCTGGGGAAAACATTAAAAATGGAAATCCATTGTATCTATTTGGCAATTTAAAACCTCAGCCTAGTTTTAAAACAAGGCTTGGGGATTTTTGGTTGGTTGGTTTTTTTTAGCTTTTACATTGTTAGGACATTGAACACAGAAAGCTGCTTGCTACAGGTTTTGCTTTCCAGTCAAGGGCAACAGTAGGCTTTTCTTTATATAAGTGAGGTCAGATAAAGCCAAAGGCAGAACGACTGTATTTCCATCCCTCCTTCTCCATTTGCGTTCTTACAGTTGGAAGGGTAGCATAACTCTTTATTATGCTTCAGTTTCCTCATCTGTAAAAAGGAAGGAGGTTGTTTTTATTTCCCACTTAAGATGACTAGATGGAATAAGTGGTGTAAAAGAGAAGAAGATTTCATTTATTTAATTAATTGTCTTGCAGTCTTTTATGCCGCCATGCTGCAGTCCCACTATGGAGTTGTGATCACCACAAAAACCTCAAGAGGATATATCCTTGTCTGAATTGCTACAGTTATTATCTGTTACAGAAAGTAAAATAAGGTTTATCATTGTCTTCTTTTAATATAAAACTGTTGTCTGCAAATGAAAAATTTTGTTGTTAAAACAATTCTACCATAAACTTAATTTCCCCTCTGTGTTACAGAACCATTGAGAAAGTTTAGTTATGTGCATTGTAGTGGCATTACCTTTTAGAAGAGAGTAATAATGAAGTCCATTCAAAAGACTGATGCATTAGATTTATCTTTGGCATAACTTATATGTCATCATCACATATACACTGTGATTATTGTCCCAGTGAGTTGTATCAATTTATTTTGTAAATTATAAAGTTCAAGGAAATAGGAATACAGAGCCATATAAACTCGCTTCATAGTATTTAAGTATGTAGAGATTTTATTAAAACTACAAGTTATCAAAGTTATGAGTTTAATCTTGTTATGTATATTTCTAATGATGTGAAGCATGCCATTTAAGTTAAAAAACCTAAAGGAAAAGGAAAAGAAAAATAGTAATCTTTTTGTAAGCATTATTTAAATAAATTAGGTGATCTCTTGAGGTGCTGTGCAGCCCTTTTTGAAAGCAATCATTATCATCAGGTCCAAAACCAACCTCAAATGTCTAGATAACAAATTAGCTGTCTAAATTGAATCTTGTCTTTTGAAATGTGTCATCTGTTACTTTATGATTTTTCCTGTAACCTGTTAACCATAGAAATAACTGTAAGTAGAGTCTCAAAATGCTTACTTTTTTTCAAACTTTAAACTTTCTTGTGGTTTTGGTTGGTTTGTTGTTTTTTGTTTAATATTTTTATCTTTAAACACATATGGGAAGAACACACTCAAACCTTTCATTTGTAAGGAATTGTATTCTGACTTCATGGCTCTTTTCTATACCACAGGTCTATCCATGGACTTGTTTTCAAAGAACTTTTTAATTACTGTTTTATCATAGTTAAAGATTACTGCTATACTTGCAAAAAAGGGTGCTATCTATCAGTTTCTATTGCTTTTTGCTGAAAAATCAATGAGTTTGAATTTGACTATGTTTAAACCTTTTCCTTTGGGGTTAGTGTTACTGCTTGAGGGTGTTTTTGAGACCATGCGCTTTTGCTAAGAAAAGTTGCTCTGATTCTGAAATATGTTTTTTCCTGTCATTTTGTACTTTTCCTCATAAGTTAAATAAAACTCCATCTATCCCAGTTTTGTTTTCTGTAACTAATTCCATAACAGTGTAGTACTTGACATGTGTTTGTTTCTTAGGCAAACGTGTAAAATTCCTCGAGTCCAAATGGAGACGTAGACAAAGGAGGTTTCTGCTGTGCCTGATGACAATTTTTGTTTTTTTCCACACACACAAAATATTCTGGCTCCATGTTGGAGCACTAGTTGTGATGAATCCTAGTCTTGGTCGGATTCTAAGGGACAGAACGTTCGTTGAGGAATAAAGAATCAGACCACTCCAGAAAATGTGTTCCAGCCCTGGTTTATTACTCACAGAGCAGCAGGTGTGTACCAATACAGGTTTACACAGTACTAACAGGAATTGTTGTACCTTACTTTTCACTGTAGTTGCTTAGTTTGCTGGAGATGCCCAGGAATCGTGGCTTATTTGGGAAGAGCTTCAGGAGGGTGGTTGGAGAGACTGCACCATTCTCCTAAGCAGCCTCGGTCTGTCAGTCACATGCTTCTGGGAGCCTTACTCTCCCTTCAAAAGTAGATCCAGTTGATGAACTTAAGTGACTCACTGTCATAGGAAAGCAACAGATGCTTTGGAGAAGAGAACAGCACTTAGAAGGAAGTATGTCTTGGTGCATTGAGTTAGGTGTCGCTTTGCAAGTTGAAAGCTCAGCATCCCATAGGGGATTACTGAAAATTCAAAAGAAGCTGAGAAGGGGGTATTTCCACTATATTCCTAAGATTGCTAGGTGTTGAGTAATCTTAAAACCATGTTTCAGATAAAGAACTGCCATTTTCAGGAACGTATGCCATGCTCTAAAGAACTTTTCCTTTGCCTATTTTCCAGTCCTAATTTTATTTGGAGCAAGTGGAAAACTCAATTTACATGTGAAAGGTTTCCAAAGCCTTTTAATTTTAATTAAAATTTTTAACTGATTATCAATGTCTTCACTTTATAACCAAAAATCTTCTGCTGAAATCATTAAGAGCAGTGAGGAAGCAAGAAATGCAGGATTATACTTTAAATGGCATTGTGTGAAATGAGTTTTCAACATGTTTGTTTCTTTTAATGGAAGTTCCTAAGCACAAGAATTTTCACAAATGCAATTCTGATTAGTCACAGTGTAAGAAAAGTATGAAAGAATTAAAAACTTAATTCTTGTGGTTATCAAAGACATGGGAAACATTTGAAACATTTAAGTGTAGTGGGAAATGTTCTGTTTAATTAATAAAATGAGGTAGATGTTTACCAAAGGGTAGACCTGAGGATCTAGAATTGTAATTGCTCCATTACAGGCATGGGAACATATTTAGACTAATGCTTTTTATACTGTAGTGCCAAAAATAAAGTTAAGGCAAAAATGTAAAGCTCTCGAATCTTGATATCAAAAGCTAGGTAGTGAAAAAGTTTTATGAGCAGAAATGAAACATTTGGAGACTTGAAAAAATTTCTATCAATATGTAACCTTCTTGAAGATAAATGAATCCCTACAGTTTTCATTAAATATCTGTTTTCCAAATTACTGACAAATGACTCAAATTTTGCCTTTTGTTATTAGCCCAAGTCAAATAGTGGTCTGTGATACTGAAACAAGGGCCTTTTTCCTAATTCACGGTTTTCTGCTGCAGTTACTTTATCAAGCATACCCTTGAATCACCTTAACATTTTTCCTACTTTTGAAAAGGTTTATTGTGCCCCCATAAACTTACTTATCCAGCATGTTTATGGTATTCTATGATTCTAACTAAATGCCATATTCACCCAAATCCGTACATATCTACTGCGAGGTGCGTATGCATATAGGAGCCCTCTTGGAAAAAAAGCTCGTTAACAGGTCTTCTGTTCAGTTTTCCCATTTCTTTAGAAAATGAATTAGAATTCTCAAGCTTTGAGGAAATTCTGAGCCTGACCTCCGTTAATATTTGCAAAGTACTTTTGTTTATCACTGGTACAAGCTAATATTAATAGATCAGAAGCACCTTCCAAGCTTACAAGTTGAACTGTTTCAGTGAATAAACATGCACAAGTGGCAGTGCAAACTGTTATTTGCTTTTGTAAGCCACATATGAATGATAGTGCATGGCAAAACACATGGTCTGGATTTTGAAGTTCCAGGAAATAGTGTGCTTCCATCTGTTCAAAAGATTCATTTCCAACCTTGACCTCATTTGCAGAGAGCATAAGTGGAAAAAATGCATTGGCAGATGTTTGTTTCTGGTTGTATGGGCCCTTCTGTTTCTGCATTGTAATATTCATATTAGGTATTCAATACCGAAACGAAGTTATTTATATCATGGAAAATACAACTGATACAGCCTTCTTCAAGTCCATTCCTTGTTAGGAAAGGTTTGCTAAAAAAAACAAACACAAACCAAAATTGTTGACTGTGTTTTATTGATTTTTTTTTGTAGTCTGTTTATGTTCAATATAAGAAATAATATAAAAATAAGGATATGAAATGGATGGAAATGTATACTGCATACAACTAAGGGCTGTCTTGGTACGAGATCTCTATTTCATCTCAGTGTCTTGAAGGACAATCCATAGCTAGGCATTTCTTCAAGCCATTTCTTATGCCTCTTTCGTCAAACATTTATTTAAGGGATTCTTGTGACATTGTCTGTATTTAGCTTATCTCATGATGGTCATTAAATGCGTTTGTGAGATCCTTTTTATTTTTTCTAGAAATACCCATGCCATTTTTGTTTCCCGCAGGCTTTTAACATTGTACAGAAGAATGGTAGGGGTGACAAGATAGCTGTTCTTTGTCTCATGAAATTCCACTCAGCTCAGGGTTTGCTAAAAAAAAAAAAAAGATAGCATGATGATTCTTGAGTATGCTTAGATGACGCTCAGGCTGTGACATCACACACAGTACTGTACAGTAGATGGAATGGTTCTAAAGTGAAAAGAAAATCTCCAGTATTAAGGTCTTTCTGTTTCTTTGGGGAAAACCTGGAACAAAGGGTCCATCATACTGCTGAATTATCTGTGGAAGGAAGAGACACTGTCTTAAAAATTTGCCCTTTTTTTATTTGCATTGCTACATAGTCCTGACAACATTATAATAGGCTTCCTTCCCCACTAAGTTCTGTTGTTTACTGTGCACAATAGAAAAGAGACAGAATTGAAGTTGCAAGAGAGGCAAGTAGCTAACTTTCAAGTGCTTGACTTGGCAAACTCAAGAGTCTGTTTTTAATATGGATTTTGTGTATGGTTTACGATAAACACAGAAAAAAGTTGAAAGAGCTGCCATTCAGAAAATCGTGATGTACAAAATTGTGTTACGAAATGTTCTGGTACACACTTATTTTAATATACAATATATTGCTACCTGTTTTCTTCTTACGATAGTAAATACTAATTGCTTATGTGCCTCATTTGCATGTATAAACTATTCTGTAGTTAGGAAATAAATAGCGATAGATTTTTTTCTCTGAAGAACAGAAGATTTGTACTATACCTGTGATCCTGTAATTTTCATGCATAGGTGCCTGAAAGTAGGGAAAAGTACTTTACTGTTCAGGGAATATTCACTTAGCCATTCTTTATGTCCTGTAGTCTTGAGTTTCCTCCCTTCCTCTTCTAAGGCAGAAGGAAATCTTGAGTAAAAGTATCAGGCTGGATTTTTCTTGGGAATCCATTCTTAGAAAAGAGATGGTATCATCTGCTCTATTCATCAGCTGTAGGGATTTCACAAGTGAGGACATTTTTCACCCATTGTCAGCAGCACTGGTATGGAGGTTGCCCAGAGCTGGTAGCTTTTCTAATGTGCTGCCTTTGAGGTCTTTCCATCTCTGGTCCGTTCTGGGTTGCCCTGGCAAAAATGTTCTACCCAAAGACTGAACCTGTTTCAAACATCTAGTGAACAGAAGAAATGTGGAAAACTTAGTTGCATTTAATTATATATTGTTGTTTTAAAATAAAACAAGTGAGTTCACATACAATTACAGACAATTTACAGCAGCCACTCACTAATTTAAATTAAAAAGTCTGCAGCTGCTGTGTAATTATACTTTAATTGCATACGTAGTGCAAGAAAGTGAAGAGAGTCTAATGCATTGTATTTATCATATAACAACCATGTGAAAAAATACACTAGCGTAAAGGGAGTAATTATGTTCCAAGAATGAACAAATTAATTCAAATTGACACCTAGGATACTAAAGGTTTTATGTCCTTTTTTTTCATTTGTATTGTTAAACAGCAACAAAGTTAATTTTCCATACATATTAATTATTAACTGAAAAATTGATTAGACTTGATTTGCACCCATTCAGTGTGTTACTGTTCTCTTAGGACTGTAAAGATCAGACACATACATCAGTCCCCCTTTTCCTATAAAGACCTTTGGCACAGTACCTTGCTTCCCAGCCACTCAAGTCAAATAGCTTTTGCTATATCCAAAATTAAGCATTTCTGGGAATACAGATGCTACATATTAGCTAAAATTTCATTGCTTCTTTATGAAACTGCCTTTAGCATCTTAGAGATCTATTCTTTGCCTAATGTGTATGTATATGACTTCCATTTATGTTAATATCTGGTCTGTGCTTGTGCATAACATAACAAGTATTACCTTCTTAGAGGCAAACGTGGACCACTGTGTGTGTTACTCAGAGTAGCATTGTATGACCTGGAAGTTAAGAGAACAAAAGAAAAGAAAAAGAAAAAAAGAAAGAAAAAAATCAAAAAAGAAAAAGAGGGCAGGCAGAATAATGAAAATTCTGGCAGGGGAAAGCAGTTAAAAACTCCAGTCATAAAAACTGGGAACATGCAGCTTGACTTTCTGTGCAGTCTGTATAAGCAAAATGACCTTTGTATATGATTGGCCACCTGTTACAGAGCAGACATTTGAATGGATGTCTGGGTTTTTTTCTTCTTTATATCACCTATTTAGTCTATGTAACAGTGTATGTTGCTTTTATAGGGATATTTTCACCACACAGATGTAGAGCTGGGGGTGGGGGGGAAGTGGAGCAGGTAGGCCTGCAGATTATGATTTTACTGAGTCTTTTTGTGACTGAAAAAGCACATTTGCACTTCCAAGCAGCCATATAACTGAGAAGTCATGTATGTGTGAAAATACTGGTTTTTTGCTAGCTGCAGTTTATCACCTTAGCCTATGCAATGGCAGAACTGGATGTAATAGAAATAATAAATCACAGAATGGTTGAGGTTGGAAGGAACTTCTGGAAGTCCACCCCCCTGCTCAAGCAGAGCTGTCTAAAACCGGTTGCCCAGGACTGTGTCCAGATGGCTTTTGAATATCTCCGAGGAAGGGGGCTCTACAACCTCCCTTGACAACATGTTACAGTGCTGTGTCACCCTCACAGTAAAAAAGTGTTTCCTGAGAGGAAACTCTCTCTTTCAGTTTGTGCTCATTGCCTCTCGTCCGGTCACTGGACACCGGCTGAAAAGACCCTGACTCCATCTTCTTTGCACCTCCCTTCAGGTATTTGTACACGTTGCTGAGATCCCCCCTGAGACTCCTCTTCTGCAGGCTGAACAGTTCCAGCTGTCTCAGCCTTTCCTCATGTGAAGGGCTCCGGTCCTTTATTTGTTTTACTGGTGCTTTACTGGACTCTCTCCAGTAGCTCTATGTTTCCCTTGTTCTGGGGAGCCCAGACTGGACACACGACTGCAGATGTGGCATCACCAGCACTGAGCAAAGGTGAAGGACCACCTCCCTTGATCTGCTGAAGATACATTGTATAATACAGACTGGGATACCATTAACCTTCTTTGTTGTGAGGCAGATTGCTGGGTCATGGTCAACTTGGTTTCTCAGAAGTCAGCTGGCACCCTCTCTTATTAATAGCAAATATCTACTCTGTGGGTATGTAGGCAAAATTGAGAATTCAGCTGAATTCCAGTGACCATGCCTTTCCACTTATGCCTCTGAGGAAACTGTTCTCTGATTCTGCTTTGGTTTTGATCTACTCTGGAAAAGTAAGAAGATTTGACCCTGCATCTATATGGCCTCTTTGGGAGTCTCACACCTTTGATCTCTCTTCAGTGTGCTTTGCATCAGTTGATTTACCACAGGTTTTTTATGTATATATCTATCTATGTACATCTTGCTCTCAAGTGAAGCTAATAAAAATCCATCTGCAGATAGGATCAGAAGATGTGTAGTTTCCATTATATAGCTCAGTGGCACTTGGGTCCATGAGTAGAATTCTAGCTTGTTACAAGTAAGCAAGATATAAATAATAAGATGCTGTGTCAGCTGTTTGAGCTTTGGTGCAGGGCATAGAAATATCTTGCCGGATTTTTACATTAATTTTTCATAATTTTTTCAAGCAATCTTCCACTGTAGAAGAGGCTATGTGAGGCTGTTTCCAACAGCAGGAACAAAACAAAACAAGAGCAGTGTAATAAAGAAAACCATGTTTCATAAAAATCACAAAACACAATTTTATTATTGTCTTCTTAAGTACAGTTCCTAGAATCAACTTGGTGAAGGCAAACCAAAGTTATGAGCTCCTTGAACAGTCCTTTTAATATTCTGCTCTATGTTCATGCTCTGCAGAGCCAACAAGAGCTGTATGCAGTATTCAGTTTTGCTGAAGGCAAAAGAATGTTTCATCATTAAGGAGCATGACCCTTCTCTCTGTGAAGAAAATGAAAACCATAAGCCCCTTGACGTCATAAAGTGTTATTGTGACCATTCCAGTGGGTTGCTCCTCAGCATTTGGGATGTTGACTCCTGACACAATTTGGTACTAAAATGTATCGACTAACACAGCAGAAATAGTCCTCAGTTATGTTATTTTTTTTAAATGGTAGAATTTTTTTCTTTTAATATTTAAAATCCAAATCAGACACAAGGAAAGTTCAGTTACTCTGAAATGCTTTGTCTCCCACTCTTTCTCTGTGGTCCTTCCGTTCCACTCTTGTTTCATGTTAGGTTGGGTGAAACCACTCTAGTGAACTCCTAGGTAGTTATTTTATACCTTGTGAATAGCAGGATATCTCTCTCTTGTTCAGGCATGCATGTTTCTCCACTAAGTGCTTATTGCTTGCTAGGATGCATTTAGCCCTTAACAGGATGTTGCCTTTTCCAACCTGAACAATTCTATGATTCTGTGACTATGTTTTAAAGTAGCATGCAAAGAATGTAAGAACCCATCTCCACTATCAGTCACTGTTATACACAATGGCTAACATTTTAAAAGCATAGCTGCTACCATACAGAAGTTCTAACATTGAAAAAGATTAATGGAATACAGTTTTTCTCCTTAAAACCAGTGCTTTTGACATTCATGGGTTGGTAATTTGTGACCTTCAGATTTTTTTTATCATATTTTTAAACAATATCACATTTCAGTTTTATCTTGTCAAGTCCAATTCCAGAAAAGCACTTAAAGACAGAATTTATGTTGGGGAGCAATCCCATATAATACCACTGGGAATTATTCATTTGTTTAAAAACAATTGAAAGAGCTTTGCTGGACACAGATCTTGTGTTTCAGTCTCAGTTTCCAGTACTTTGGAAGTAGATTCTGTATGTACAGTTTTGATTTTCTGATTTTCTTTTTCTTTACAGGTAACCCGATAGCTAAAGACAAATCAAGTCAGTCTCAAGGCTGATAACATTAAATACAACACACAGGAATTTCATTCCTCCAGGCAATCCTTGAAGTGAAATTTTATGCTGCTGGGGTGTATCCTTCAGAATCAATTGTTTCAATGAGAACCTGGCTTGTAATCAGCAACAGCCTTGAGATCAAAACTACTGGGAAGTTATTTTGAACTTCTGTGTCACAAAGATTTCAACTGATTGAACTGTGTACACTTGTAAAATTGCACTTGCTGAGGAATTTGCAGCTGTAATCACAAGAGTTGATATTTAAAATGTGCAGAAAACCAGCAATCTTCTGGATTCTCCATTCCAGACCAGTGGCTTTGCATCTTGATGAAGTCAACCTCCAAAATGTATTGGTTCCTTCTCTCTAAAATGATCCCTGGTCCACATTGAGATCGCTGATGGGACTGCACACTGCTTTAATGAAATTTCTGTTGCAGAAATTGTCCTCTGGCATGGCACAGTTTTAGGCATTTTTATTTGTATTCTAATCTTGGAGCTCTCAAAGTTACATATTTCAACATCTTGAAGTTGCTTTTGTTATAGGAATGGAAATATATATCCATTGTTAATAATTATTGTTGATAAGTAATAGTTATCTGAATACATCAGTCATATTAGAATGTATAGTCAGGTTGACATGTTTCCCTAAGGCTAACCAACTACCGCAGCTCTTCAGTGATTAAAAAAGTAGTGGTCAAAACTCAATTACCAGTTCCATTATAAGGCATTTTGTAACTTTAAAATATACATTTCCAGTTAGTTTGAAGGAGATGAGTGTTCCTGATATGTACTTTACTTTCCCAACCTTTAATTCATTGAAATTCATGGTAAGCATTCAATGACAGTATTTCATCCCTTTTTATAAAGGTAGGCAGGGATGTAAATGGGTTTTGCAATTATGAAATTGGATGGTAATCATTCAGAATTTTGGGAGTGTTTTTTATTAAAAAATAAAATCTCTTGCTTGAACCTAAGTACTGTTGGATGCTTATGTAGATGTCTGCTCAGTCTGTTTGCTATAAAGGAAAAAAGTCCTAGTGCCCTCTGAGATTTACAGTTTGTGGGTATTTTGCTTGCTTACAGTCATCCAATTCAGATCTGATCCTTGCCAAAACCACATTTACTTTTGTTATTTTTGTTTCAGTAGCAATTTTTGAACTTAGTGATGTGCTGTTACATGAAAAAAATCCTCAATATTTAAAGGCCTTAAGCATCTATGAGCTTTTTTCTAGGTTATTACAGAATGTATAATTTTATACTCCATTTAATGTATATTGTACCATCTGTAATGTTGATACAAAAGAAATTTGGCAATTCCATCTAGTGACACTGCATAAGCATGCTGACTGGAGAGGGTGAGGGAGTTCTGACTGTATGCTTTGGTGCATTGAAACGAAAACCAGGGACACTTAATGGTAGTCAAAAATATACAGGGTGAGCTTATTTAGAAGTCCTGTGTGGTTACCAGACTCTCAGAAAAAGAGGGAAATGATTTTATCATCACAAGCCATTGACATGGCTAGGTAGTTATATATTAAGTTCCATGATGGATGAACACCCTGGAGTGCTCTGCCTATCACAGTAGCTCCTGCTGTTCCAAAACCATTTCATTACCTCTGCTGTATTATTGCACAGGAGAGCTTAAATAAAATAAATGACTGTTGGGAATAAAATTGAGAAGTATATTCTATCATTCTGCTGAGAAATAATAAAAAATTTTGGCAGGAAAAGATATTCTTTTCTGATTAAAATTTAATTGGGATAAACTAGCAGCAACTAGGTATCTCAGTATTTTAGGATGGATTAATACTGTATGGATTTGTGCTAACAGGTGCAGGGCAGAAGGCAGATTCTTAAAGAGATTGTCTGGGACAGTGCAAAGTAAATGTGCTGTTTTGTAAAATCTGAATATAGCCTCTCTTTGGTCAAAAACTACATCATGCTTCTCAATATTTATTTTCTTTGTTTCTTTGTTCTTCAGCCAACAATGAAAATACTGTATAATACACAAGTGTAACACATGCATATCAATAAGTGAAAATAAATGGATTTTCAAATATACTGAATAGATTATCTGAAGTAGATTAATGTTGTGAATATTCATAGAAAGTGAATAAAATTGTAATATAAAATAGAGTTTTTTCTATGGATGTGCACTTTGGAGATCTATTCTGTTTACCCATGAAAAAAATATTCTTTTTCAGTGCATAACTATCTCAAGGGTTATCTTAATTTTGTATTTCTTCAATAGAGCTGAGAATATATCCTACCACTTCGAAGGGTCATTTTCCAAAGGAAACAGATATCTAGCACAACTGTTCTAGCATTGTCATGGGAAATTCTGGTGGGCTTACTGCTCCTTTTAGGCCAGACTGAATAGAAGTGGATTTTTTTTTTCCCCCACAAAATGGGGATCCCAAGAAATTCTTATTTAGATCATTTCTGTAGCAACAGAACATGGTAAGCATTCCAAAAGGTTACATTTCAGGTTAATTTGTTGAACTGTTTAAAAGAAAAAAAAAACAGCAAGCCAGATCAACAGTGAATTCTGCTTGTGCATCTTGAAGCAAGCTGTAAACTATAGTTCAGCTGTCCATAGTGTCTGTTTTAGTGCTGCCTTTGCAAATGGAGTGTAGGTGACTAGATCAGCTGTGGGCATTCGTGTTGTAGGCATGTGAGATGAATACTGCCTCAATTACTCCTTTATTCCTTACTATAGTAGTACTATACTACTTCCCAGATTATTTGATATACCCAGTTCATCTGATTACAAAGATGATCAGACATTATGATCAGAGTGAAATCCAAGTTACTGTTTGAATTCAGCAGTCATCAAGAACTCTGAACTGCAGGAGAACATGGGTTCCTATTCTGCAGTTCCATGTGGCAATGCACTGACATGGAAAGAAAACTCATGGCTTTATTCAAACCTTTCAAATGTATTCAACAAAACATAAAGGAAATCCTGATATGAGTCTTAGAGAAAAAAATTCCAAATCGGAACTAATAAATCTAAAATTTAGCTAAAAAAAACATTCAAGACTGTATCTTGGTTGTATCTGGTTTATTGGTCATAACTAAGTGCTAACCCTTGAAACATCAATGCTGGAGATACCACTGTTACTAACTTTAAATCCACCTATTATTCTATATCCTTTCGATCTTCCTATTTATCCTGTATCTTTTAAATCATGGCTCCTTCAGCTCTGCTCAGTCCTTCACCAAGCCAATGCAGCTTTATATATGCTTTAAAACTGGAGGCAGAGTGCATCAGATAGATTTGTTTTGAGACTAAAAATCTCATATAAAGCATTTTATTTTGTTAGGTTTCATAAAAATATATGCCGATGTTTTTTGCTCATTATAATTGTGTAGCTGGCTTTTCTAGTTTCCAGGTAATGAATGGATGTCTATAACAACAAAACAGAAAGATGTGATTGGCATCCTTTTCTGCTGATTTACTGCCTCCTTCGTGCCTTGAATTTCACACATCTTTCGTTAAGCAAGACACTGGCAAGGAATAGGAGCGCAGTTTTTGTTTTTAAGAGAAGTGTTGCCTTAATCTCTATTTCTTTCTACCAGTAGTTAGCTCTGTATCAAATATGTCACACCTAAAAAAATCTGATGGCATTAAATGGTTTCTCATGGTTTCGGTGGTTTATTAAGTTGAATAATAAGAATTACCTAATCACTTTGTTAGTCTTCATAATGTGATTTTTACCCTGGGAAACTTTTCTATTTATTCTTTCATAGAATGAGGAAAGGTTTCCAAATTGCATTTTTATCTTGTTTCTCTAAGAGCTTACGTAACTTTCTGATACTACTTCACAGTCATTGCAAATGACACAGCAAAAACATCTTCCATGGCTGTTTTTCATTTTCTGTATTCATCTGCACTACTTACGCAGTGATTACAAGAAGTAGTACATGAAAAGGCTGAGTTTCTCACAACTTTGTTTTGACAGGTGATGACAAGTTTTGCCAACATCTCTTAATCCAAAACTAACTTAAGACCATCTAGCGGGAGGACCACTGACGGTGACAGATGGAAACTATTGCATAAGAGAATGCTGTTCTTTCTCTGATTGCTGTTAGTGGAATGCCAGGCTAGGCAAAACCATTGCAGTATGGTTTCATCAGCAGAGAACTCTTCAGCCTTGTATCTTAGTATTTAGATCTGATATCTAGAACTCACAAAATGTACACCATGTCTCCATATAAAGGAGTTGTTTTAGTCTGTTTTTCTCTTTATGATTAATTCTGTATGCCTTGCCAATATTTGGGTGTAGAAAATATAATCCTTCTTATTACTGACTTGGAGTTTGGGTCTCTTTGTTTTTGTTCTTTTTACTTTTCTTTGGTAATTTTCTCTTTTCCTGGTATCCAATCAGTTCTTATGAAACTTCAATAGTGATGAGAAAAGTTTCTTAATAAACAGTGGCTGAACACAGGCTCTTTGTAGTTCTTGGAGAGAAGAGAGAGATGATGTGTCTATCATTTTCTCTTAAAATGGTTTCCAGCTTAAACTATTTCAGTCTGAGTAGAAGCATTTTTTCCTAACTGTAAATGGTCTGTGTTTCAATATGCTCTCTGATCATAAAGCTGATGAAATGATCCTCTCTGTGTGGCAGACTACATCAGCAGAATTTACAAATGGAAGATGATGATTTTGCTAATGTCCATGGGCAGGTAGAAAGAATTCGGTCCCAGATGCTCTGACTAATGTTCATGGCAAGAGCAACTCAAAAACAATGCCTCCATATGCTGTAATTGCTGGAATTATTTCTCAGGCATATTCCCTTGTCTTCCCTCATATGTAGAACTCATTAGATTCCTAGTGGGAGAACATATGGAGAGGAGAGATGATGGAAAACATTGTAAAACAGATTGTGTATTTAAATTTATATTATAAAAGACCTCTGTGCACAGGCAAACTTAGTGGAGAAAGTTCAAACTCTTTCTTTCCACTTCATAAGGAAATCTACATTTATGGAGCTGTTATCTCAGTGCATTCAAAGACATTTACAGATGATGGGTTAAAGCCTGGATTTAGGGGTGCTAGTGGGAACTTTGCTGCTAATTTGAGATCAACTCTGTGTTTCCTACATTCTTTTGCGAAAATTCAGTTAAACTATAACTGTGTAAGATCTTTTCACTAATAGGCATGACCAGAAGTCAAAGTTCCACTCATACAAATCTGTTGGCAGGATCAGGCCTTTGGTTGCAGGTTTGTGATTTCAGTGTCAACACAATGACGTTTATGAATACCTTGTTTGTGTTTCACAAAAAGAAGTGATAAAGTTTCTTGAATCCGGCTCAGTGGACTGATGGATGGGG